CAATGATTGTATATTTCTGAAGAAAACTTTGAACATCCCAGTTATATCAGAGAAGCCTTTGCTGTTTAATGGACTTAACTCAATAGATTCTCCAGAAAATGAAACTGTTGATAGTTTTTCTCATGAAGAAGACCTGGTAGCGGCTGGGGAAGACCTCTCCCCTCCCAGCCCTCAAGAATCTGATGCTCAGCCCATGCAGCCCGAGGAAGTGTCAGCCAGAGATTTCCTGCAGAGGCTGGACTTGCAGATTAAGTTATCAACACAGGCAGCCAAGAAGCTAAAGGAAGAGAGCAGGTAAAAATATGCTGGAAAAATGTCAGAGGCTGAACAAATTACTCTTAAGATGTCCTTGCTTGGTCAAATTCTCTTTTCATTTTTTGCTTTAAAAGCTAGATTTTAATTGTAGACAGGCTTTTTTTTTTTGCGTTACGCGGGCCTCTCACTGCCGCGGCCTGTCCCGTTGTGGAGCACAGGCTCCGGACTCGCAGGCTCTGCGGCCATGGCTCACGGGCCCGGCCGCTCCGCGGCATGTGGGATCTTCCTGGACCGGGGCACGAGCCCGCGTCCCCCGCATCGGCAGGCAGACTCTCAACCACTACGCCACCAGGGAAGCCGTAGACAGGCATTTTTAATGTATAAAGTCTAAACAGAGCTACTGCATTCTGCATAAAGCTTTATCTGTTGCACTGCTTTTGTTTTTGTTACTTCTTATAAAAAGTTTACTTCTTTGCTTTAATAGCATAACTGTCCAGCTAGTAGTTCTGGAGAGCATCCAAGTAGACATCTAGTTGACACCATAAGAGGAAGCAGTGCCCTATAGATTACTTGTAAAATACTGTTCTTTATAAAACTTGCCAAAGACATTTATTACCTGTTACCAGGTGTTTCCTATATAAGATCTCATGTGAGCTTTTTTTCTTTGTTCTTTAATTTGATACTAGGGCAAAACTTTCTCCTATAGAATTGGTTTCCTTCTTCCTTTACCATTCCAAGAATGGCACAATGTATTGTGTTTTCTTTTTTGCCCTGGCTACCAGGAAGCTTGCAGCCAAAACTGGTCCTCAGTTCAACTACTGCAATATTGCTTATGGTTAATATATTTGTATCGTTCTCCTTTCCTTAGTTGTGATTTTTAATTTCTATTTTATTCATAGTATATGTATGCCTTCTGTTGTAGGTACCTCAAATCCTTTTGAGAAACAGGTAGAATATTAAAAATATAAACAAATATAAATGTGAATATAATTAATTTATAATTTAATATAAATTTATATAATATAAACAAATACAAATATATAACAAGTACCATTCTTTATTCCAATAACTGAGACAGCAGTAAAATAGGGACAATGAAATATTCCTTAGTGAGTGTTTGCATTTTGTACAACTTTCAAGGCATGCATGATATTATAAGTTGATATAACTCCTGCCCTTCTTTGGCAAGTGGATATTACGTTGTATAATGAATATGTGTGTTAGTTTTCTGAGTACAGTTTTTAAACACTGATTTATGCTGTGTTTCTTTTTTTTCAGAGATGAAGAAAGTCTCTTTGCAGCTTCCCTCTATCACAGTTAGATGATCAGGGGGCATAATCTAACCTGGGTTAAGAGATGGTTAGATCATAAAGAAACCAACAACTGATGATTCAAAAGCATCCCTTTTGGATATTCACAGCATACATCTTTAAATCACAGTTAAGTAGTTCCACCTACAGCAATTGCACTGAAGTGACTAGCTCCCTCTGGCTTTCTATGATTTTCACTCTTTATTATGGCATGATAGCAAAATTGTATCTTAAAGCTCATCACTTTTGCAAGCCGTGGTAGTTTTTAGACTAGCTTTTGTAAATGCTAGTTGACATAAAGCCACAGACTGTTTACATATTCAAGGTAAAAATGTTTATTTCCTGAGAAATCCTAATTATGTGAAAAACATGGTTGCTGTTTAAGTGATGCTGATTTTGCTATGTGTTTATATCTTAAGTGCTATATATATATATATATATATATATATATTTCGATATGTATTACATATTCTGTATTACTATAAAGAAACAAATTTTGTCTGCTATTTTGTAAAAATAAACTCCAAAAGTCTGAATGAGAAAATAAACTATGTTTTCATATTTTAGTCTTCAGTTTTTTTCAACAAATGGGAATATTAAATTGATTTTTAAATTATAGTTTTAAATGGTGACAGGTTCTCCTCTACTTTAATGGTCTTTATTATTATTACTGCAGTTTTGAAAAAGGTTTCAATAATCTAAAAGCAAATACATTGCAGTTACTAGTAACCTTTGCATTTAAATAATACCTGACTTGGGGTGTTTTAGGTATAGTGAAAATATGGAATATATCAAAAGAAGAAGTAAACAACACCATGACTGGACACACTGGTGAATTTTAGCTTAGATTTCATTGATAAGTCACTTTATAGAATGTTTTACAGCATTTTACAGTCAAATGCTCATTTGAATTGAAGGGTTAGGTTTTTATTCACATAATTTGTCTTAGTTTTTTATATGTACGGGTTACAGCAGTAAAGTTTAAGAAATGTATTATTTGCAATTAAATTTTTTTGATCTCCATTTCTATTCAAGTATCAGGTTAAATAAATCTTTAAGCTTCCACAAAAATTCCTTGTATTTATCCCTCACCAGCATCCCAAAAGGAGTCTGCTGTCTGTGAGGCAAGAAGGACCTTGTTTCCCTTCTCTTCTCCCTCTTTTCTTTTTCCTCATTTTCTTCTCCCTGCCTGGCTCCTCCAGGTCTTCCATTAAGCAGGAAACAAGTGCCCTTAGGTGTTGGTGCAGCAGAACTTGTAGAACCAGAACTGCATATATCCACCCCTTCAGACTAACAGGGACATGAATGGGAAAACAGTAGCTGTTTGCCCATGTCTTGAATTTCTTCTTCGTTCATAACGTCCACAATCCCTTGTATTTTGGGGTTCTTTCCTCATTATTTTTTCTCATGATAACCTCTGTTTTTATTTCTCATGTTTCTTTTTCCTAATGTTATTATCATCTTTGCTATAGGGTGATCTCCTTGTCATGCCTTGCTATTTTCTTCTATCCACCGCTACCTGAACTATGGGGAGGTCGTTGGAAAAGCAGAAAGCTAAAAGAAAAAAATAAAGGAAGGGAAATAGTTGTGTATGTAAGAAAAGATCAAGGCCTCTAAAAAAAAGTCCAGGGATTTTTTTTTTTTAATGTTAATAGTTTTTATGCTATTTAACATAAAATAATCTGAAATTTGAGAGTAATCCAAAAGACACAAATCCAAAAACACTATCCAAAAGACATAAGTTCAAATTTGAAATGAAGACCACAATCTCAAAAACATTTTTCTGAGTCTTATTTTTGCCTAAGGTCTCTCTTAGCAATTCCTAGCCAAAACATCTCTTCCCTCATCTTCAAGTTACGAAAAACTGAATTCACTGAGACCACAGTTGAAACGTCCTGGACTAGAGTTCTTTAGTCGTTGCCTTGCACACAGAAGTGCTGTGGAGGAAGGAACTAAGACAAGAACCTGGGTTCTAATCCTGACTTTACCACTTCTTGGCCATCAGAGTTTGAGCATGTCCAGTGCTCTTTTTTTTTTTTTTTTGGTACGTGGGCCTCTCACTGTTGTGGCCTCTCCCGTTGCGGAGCACCGGCTCTGGACGCGCAGGCTCAGCGGTCATGGCTCACCGGCTCAGCTGCTCCATGGCACGTGGGATCCTCCCGGACCGGGGCTCGAACCCGCGTCCCCTGCATCAGCAGGCGGACTCTCAACCACTGCGCCACCAGGGAAGACCCCAGTGCTCTTTCTGTGAACCTCATGTATGAAACAGGACTGAAGAGCTCCCTTCTGTCCTGCTTATCAGTAGGAGCTAAGGAATGTCAATGTGCTCTGAAAGCTACAATGAACTCCCTTAGTAAATGTCTTATTTTTAAAAATACTGCATAGGTATTTAGATAAACTATAGAAAAGTGAATGGATAAAATGCTTGAGTCATAATCAGCTAATTCTCTCTAATGCAGAAGCAGCGTGTTTGGACTACAGGCCATGGTGAAGTCGAGTCAGCCATGTTATCAAAGATGACTCATGCAAACAGTCTGACTCATTGTGCTTTGGCAAGTATAGTTACGGCAAAGACGTTTTTAGTTCCCTCTCACCATTCACCAACGGGTATTGGCTTCTCTAGAACATACTGAGTTTTGTTTCTGTGTGTGTCAGGCTGTGGTTTTTGTTTTTGCAATTCTAGAGAGAGTAGGAAAGAGCAGCAGTGGTCTCCTCCCTGTGAAAACAGCCTCTTGTAGCTTTCCTGTATGTTCCCCGGTCCTCACCAAAAACTGAATATGAGGTAGGGATGTTCAAGACAGGTTTCAGAAGCCATCTAAAGTAGTGACAGCTGATATACATAGCATTAAGTTATTTTTATGATTTTCAACTGAAATGTATAGAAAAATATTTATGTACTTAATTTATACTGAATAATACATTTTCAAAGCATTAACACTTCCGGAGGGCCTTGGGTTACTGTGTGTTGTTTCCAGGACTGTGTTGGTGGTGGTGGCTGAGGAAGAGGGGTTGCAGGGATCTGACATTCATTAACCTTGTCCTCTAGGGAAACTCATCTACCAGCTTTGGTTCACAGGGGAGGGAATGATTTTTATCTCTATATCTACCCTACTTCCTGGCCCTCTTGCTCTCTGTTGAGAAACCTTGGCTTGGATCAAATTCCATTTAGATAACTCAGACCTGGCATCAATTTTTATCTTGCTTTATGTAGCGTTTATAACCTCATTTGTCTTGGAAAGTACATAGGTAGTATCCCTCCTAAGAGAAAAACTCAATGTCTGAAAACTCACCAATAGAAAATGTTGAGAGTGCGGGGAACTTGTTAATAGATCCAGCAAATCCTATGCCCATTTTTCAGGTTCCTTTCTGTGCCATTGGGCCTGATAAAGAGCCAGCAGGAGCAGGCAAAAAAGCAGATGGCTATACTTTAAGCTATAGAGACTATGAGGAAATGTGAATTTATTTAAACTCCCAAAAGGGAAGAGGTATGGAAATGACATAACAGAGATACCCTACGAGGTGCTTTGGTACCCAGCATGCCTTGAAAACAGAACCCCCTAATTCTTCTGGGGGTGCTTGTATGTGTGACACAGTGGGGTGAGGGTTCAGTTTTAAGTTCAGTTCATTACAGGCTTTTCCAAAGCAACATAGATCTGCTTATAAAATGTAAATCAATAAGGAAATAAGGATTCTATATACAAAATGTCAGCTTACATACAACTTTACTTTTTGGATCGTTCTTATGGCAAGAAAGCTATGTTTTAACCACTTCTAACAGATTAACTACTATAAATTCAGCACTTTTCTAATAATCCTTGGGTCAAAATAACTTTAATCACAGAAGTGTTTTAAGCTACACTATGTTTTCTGAAACAGTTAAAAGACTCTTGGGTCATTTGCCATTTTTACAGGGTGCTGTAAATACGCTTAATGGCATCGGCTTCTTCTTTATCAAGGATGCCTTTCTCCACATAAGCATCAGCTTGTTGGTTGATGAAGTCCCTCATCTTTGAAAGGTCATAATCTGGAAAATATCATTAGACTATCATGAGCAAAGATAAGGAAAGCACAGCCCATTACAGTGATTACCATTAACGAAGTAGCATTTTGTAGAACATCATTACCATGCCCTGTCTTTCACGTTGGAAGGCATTTTAGTTCTTGGCATTTGTGCTGTAGTTTGCAGCTTCAAATCATGTTTCCACGCGTTATGTTATCCCATCTGCTCTTCATCACAACTTTTCAAGGTGTTCAGGTGCGGAGAACAGCCCTCATTTGACCAGAGAAGGAACAGGCTCATAAACCAGGCCTTGGCAAACTTTAATATTTATACCAATCACCTGGGGCTTTTGGAAAGTTGCAAATGTGTATTCAGTAGGCCTGAGGTGGTGCCTCAGATTCTGCATTTTAAACAAGGTCCAGGAGATGTTGATGCTGCTGGCTCGGGAAACACACTTGGGGTAACATGACCCTAAAGCTTAAGTGCCTTATGCAAGGTCACACCGCTAGTAAAAGTTATAATCAGAACCAGGTGTTCTGACTTGAACTTGTTACACTGGTTAAGTCCATGTTGCTGTGACAACCCACTTTTTTTTTTCCACATTAAGAATTACCTTGATTTTCATGTTGTTTGAATTACATGCATGGAATGAAAAACGAAACCATAACCTCTTTGTGGTTCCTCTATCCTACTTAAACAAAAAAGTTAGGTAAACCATTGAACCGTCCACAAAAAACAAAGAGATCCTCAACCAAGTAAGGAGGCTGCTGGTGGCATCTTTCTGAAGGCTTGAAAAAAACCCCACATCTTCCCTTGATTCTTTAAGTGTTATATGCTTATTGTTTTAAAATATGGAAAATACAGAAACATGAAAATAAAATTTAAATCACCTAAATTCTATTAATCATTGATAACCAGAGTGGATATTTTGTTCTGTTTCCTTTTAGCTTTTGGATGTATCTTTCTCAATACAGTTATGATCACAGCGTACATTCAACCTTATACCTAATTCCTTTCACTCAATTTACACAGTGAGCATTGATATTCCTCAGAAACACCATTTTTAATGGCTACATACAATACATCCTATGAAGGAGAAAGGAGAGAGGGGGATACAAAAGCTCAGAGCATTCTATGGCCACCTTTAGCTACCCTGAATAGAAGCTGAACCTGGGTCACTCGGGCATCTTTAAGCCCCTGCATGAAAGGAAAACCAGACTTGAAGGACCTCTGTACAAGCACCAGGTGTTTATCATACCATGGTGAGCTGAGGCTCAGAGAGAGGTTGTTTCCTCTCCACCCAGGAGGGCATTTGCTCCTTTCAGTTTGGGCTCAGCCATGAGGATTGAAGTGAGAACTCCCAGCCCTGGACACTTTACAGCCATCATCTTATTTGCTCCTCACAAAACCCCATGAGGAAAGCGTTACTGTCCCCGTTTCAGAGATGAAGAAACAGGACAGAGGAGGTAAGTCACTTGCTCCGGTCATAATAGAGTAAGGTTCTGAATTCAGGTCTGTCTGTAGTCGCTGCTTTGACCACTCTACGGCCTTGAGGTAGTGAATATGAAGCATCTAACACGTGCAGAACATTCAATAAGTGTTTGAAGGCTCAGTTTTGTTTTGGTTGTTGACTTTCCCTTTCTCTCAGGCGTGAGTCAGAGAATCAAGCTGAGTGTACATTCTGTGTGCATCTCCCAAGCTGATTCGTGACTGACTCACAGGGCACAAAGAGGCACCTTTTAATCATCACTGGTTGTTCAGACCCAGAATGTTCTGGGTCAATATCTTTAGTGGGACAAAAGACTCCCCAAAACAGCTGTGAAGTGATCCAGGTGATTTGAATGGACAAATGGGAAAATATTTTGCTTTCTTTTGAAATGGAAAAATGGTCTCTTGATGACATGGCTGTCACTGTGTGCCATGGGAAAACTGGCATGGTGTAGAGGAAAGGCCATTGGAGTCCATCCCAGCTCTGCCCTAGCTGGCTGTTAGAATACACTAGGAGTAGCTAACTTGCTACTTAAAGGAGGTTTTAAGGCTGTAAGGCTCAAAAGAGATAAGGGCTGTAATTCACTTTTCTAAAAGTACAAACTTTCTTTTTAAGGCTCCATAAGATTTCATCATCTTCCTCACTGTCACATCACATGGACTTCCCTTTCCTGCATTTGGAAAGGAGATTCAGGTCACCCAGCCCCCTGTCAAGCAAAGGGTATCTGCAGAGGTTAAGAAATGTCAGAACTAATAGTGAGACTTCCTGCTCCAATAGCTGCAGAAGCTGTATGGCTCGAGGACTGGGTCCCCACAGGCTTTGAGAGATTTGCCCAAGTCAGACAGAGCACGTACGAAGGCAGTGGAAGACGAGCTCTCTGTTTCTGCCTTCAGAAGGGTGAACTGCATGTCACCCTCACTTCGTGGAGGCAGAAGGGAGCCTCGTACCCACCACTGTCATTCGCAAGCTTGCTCACAGAGCCTTCAATATGCATGCACTAGGGTTCCATGATTTACTAGGTTGGTCGTTTCTGGAAATGGAAGACTGAATTGCAGGATGTTGCTGATTATGACCAGGAGTCAGATTCATGTGTTAGTAAGTGAAAGAAATAACATAAATACTCTAAATGGTTGGTCCCTACAATTTACATTGGTTTCAGAATGCATTTTGGTACATACTGTATTACACTGATTCTAAGATAAACTTTAAAAAATTTTTAAAGTCTTTGCCATAATTGATGGCATGTTCTAATTTTTCTTCTGTAGTGGTACATGAAACAATGGTGCATTTTTCAATCCATGACAGATTTGCTGAAATATGGTTCATGTGAATTTTAATGGAGCTGATAGCCCAGAAATTCATATCATTTGGAACCAAATAAAGTATGTGTGAAGACCTGATAATTGTTTCCATCTCACTCAACTTGTGTGATCACAGGCTAAAGGGGTACTGAAAATACATACCTCTTGCTCCCACTGTGTTCTATCTCACTGGTTTTCAAACTTGGTTGCACAGTGCAATCATGAAAGTTTAAAAAATACTGATGCCTGGGTCCTGCCCCTCAAGTTTGATTTAGTGGTCTTGTGGGCATTAGGATATTTGGAAGCTCCATAGGTGATTTGAATGCATTTTCAAGTTTGAAAAGCACTGCTAATCTCATTTTAAAAGCATCACTTTGCAACTGCTCTGGCCAGACACCTGGGAATCATACTAGAATCCTCTCTCCACATAGCTCTTGAGCCTCTCCCTTCTTCTTTATTTCCTCTGCTTTGCCTTGGTTTAAGTCGCATTACATCTGCTCCAGATCCTTACTTCCTATCTCTCACCTGGCTTCTGGGGTTTTTTTGTTTTTGTTTTTGTTTTTGTTTTATTTTTATTTTTTTGCTATACGCGGGCCTCTCACTGCTGTGGCCTCTCCCGTTGTGGAGCACAGGCTCCGGACGCGCAGGCTCAGCGGCCGTGGCTCACAGTCCCAGCCGCTTCGCGGCATGTGGGATCTTCCCGGACCAGGGCACGAACCCGTGTCCCCTGCATCGGCAGGCAGACTCTCAACCACTGCGCCACCAGGGAAGCCCTGGGGTTTTATTTTTTCAATCTGTAACCATACTGCTGCCAGAGAGATTTCTCAGTCTTTAACCTGATTAAGCCCTCATTTTAAGCCCTTGGGCTAAAATTAACCTCCTTTGCAGGGTGCACAAGCCTCCTCCTGACTTGGCCGCTGCCCACCTCCCCAGCCCTGTCTGCAGACCTCAGTGCTCCTGAAAAACTGGCTCCAGTTCCTGTAATGCATCACTCTCTTTTGTCCCTTCATGTCTTTGCACCAGTGTTCCCTCTGCCTCTATCTCTCCTCACTCGTAAATTCTTCCTTGCCTTTCCAGCAAAGGCTTTCCTGCAGCTCTTTCTCCCAATGTAAGGAGATGTGCCCCCTCCTCTCACCTCCTCTGCACCACCATGTTATCTGTGTTAGCCCTGTGCAGTGCCCACCGGAGGTTTATTGATGGTGTGAGCAACCTGGCAGGGGGTGAGGGGCTGCATCTTACCACTTCACATCTCTGACACTCAGAACGGAGTCTGGTTCTGTGTTTTGTTTTAACTAAGTGAGCGACTACCTTCGTGACTGCAGGGTGCACCTAATATGCTCAGGAAACGTCTTTGTTTAAGATACTCCAAGAGAAGGGGGGCGGGTGGGTACACAAAACAAGATTGGCAAAATGTTGATAATTATTGAAGGTGGGTGATGGATGCATGGTAATTCATTATACTGTTCTCTCTGCTCCTGTTTGACATTTTTTATAATAAAATGGAAAAGAAAAGAAAATGCCTTTGCTTGAAAGGCTGATTTGAAAAATAAGAGAAATGGAGGTCTATTCCCTTCCGCATCTGAGAAGCACCTAGAGTCTTTTCCCGTGTCCCCTGCCTCGGCAGGCGGACTCTCAACCACTGCGCCACCAGGGAAGCCCGATTGTGGGAATCTTTAATAAGAGCTCCTGGGAATTCCCTGGCAGTCTGGTGGTTAGGAATCCATGCTTTCACTGCTGTGGGCCGGGGTTCAATCCCCGGTCGGGGAACTAAGATCCCACAAGCTGCTCGGCCAAAATAAAATAAAAAAATGAAAAATAAGAGCTCCTGACAAATTGGAGAAATTTGTGGTTTATAACGACACTAATTCCTTACCTTCTTTATTTTCTTTTTTGTTGTGTTTCTTCAACCATTCAATATTTTTTCTAATGGCTTCCAAATAGGCTTCTGTTTTCCCTGGAAAAGGCAAGAGAAACCATATTAAACACTCATACAAATATCACTGCATCCCTTTTTAAAGACCACACTTATGTTTGAGACCATGAACAAATACTGGACTTATCAAGCACTTGGTGGGGACCATCCCTAAGTAGGTGGTGTGCCTATTTCTGTGGGTGGGTGGGATAAGAGTCCAGGAGGCAGGTCCAGGCTGGCAATGTCAAGAGGCCATTATCCCCCAACACAAATAAATACAGTTTGATGTCCTGGCACAGAAGAGTTTTGATTCAGTTCACTGGATGGGTGGGTCCCTATCAGTCTCAGATTGAGTCATTTCCAGTTAGGGTTGGTTCTTTCAAACTGAAGAGTATTATCAGGTCAAGAACTGAATCAGAGTGGCAGATACTTAAGACTCCATCACCAAATAAATGAGAAGTAAGTCCAAGTTTGTGGCTTTGTGTAAGCTGCTATACAGGTCTTCTGCCCAATCTGTTAGGGAGTATGTAAAAACTCAGATGAAGAAGAGACCTGGACCTCATTTCAAGGCTGGATAGTGAAACTTAGAACTCGTTCTAGTAAAATTCCCCTGGATGTAAACGTTCTCTGATGGGCTTTAAGTGTGGCAGGAAAATATCAGGCATCACTGAAGCACCCGCCCTGTGACACCCTTTAGATGCCTTGTTGTCTGCAAGTGGGTATGATCATTAACTTAGAGATGAGGAAACTAAGGCTCAGAGAAGCTAAGTGATTTGGCTGAGGCCATACAGGAAATAACAGAGGTGAAATTTGGACTCTAGTCTGGCCAAGTTTCTGTTACCTGCACTATCTGAAAGATAAGACTTGTATTCAGACATGAGCACTGATGTAGCTTTGTTCTTTCTCAAAGAAATCAACCATCTCCTTAATCAGGTGGGTCCCTAATGCTCAGAGTGTCTGCACCAAGAGATCAGTTGATCTGGAGAGTACTGGATGGCCTAAGAAAAGAGGCTTTTAAAGTCCAGGGCCTTTGCAGAAGCAATGGCTGTCAGAGCTCAGTGTGGTGACCACCTGTTCTGAACCCCCTTTGAACTCTGTTACCCCTAGTCTACTGCCCAGACCTCTTGGTTGAGCTACCTGTACTGTGTGCTTACTATGTGCCAGGGGCTGTGTTTTGTGCTCCAAAATACATTCTCTCTTTTATTCTTCACAACAACCTTTTGATGCAGTCCTATTTAATCCCCATTTTAGAGGTGAAGAAACTGAGGCTTAGAGAGAGGAAGTAAGGCTACTACTTACTAGCCTTGTGAAGTAAGATCACAAGGCTAGTAAGTAGTAGAGCCAGGCTTGAACCTGGGTACATCTGACTATAGTCCACGAATAGTATCATTGCCTTAAGATTTGCTGATGTTCCAATTTCCACCACCACATTTACTTAAGTGACTTCCTGAGCATCTTTCTTCCTGATCTTGTGAGCTCACTCTTACGTCACCACTGGGGTTCCATGTTACCTGGTCCCCAATGAAGCACAAAGAAACTCCTTTGCAAAAAGGGGTAAGTGGACAAAAGAAGAGAGCCACAATTTTCAGCCCCTATTCAGTTCAATTGCCCGTGTAAATGATTTTAATTCTTTGCTTTTAAGCATGTTAGAGCACGTGAAAGACCAATGTCCTCCTGACTGATCTTATAACATTGCAGCACAATGAATGTAAAGATTTTCATTGTCTGTTGCCCATTTGCTAAGAAGATCATCAGATTTGGTAACAACAACAAAACAAACAAAAAGCAAAACCAAAAAACACAGCATTATTTCAAATTAATTCGGTCTGAAGAAGGAAAGAAATCTCAGACTATTTCTAAAGAATGCAACTTTGTTATTTTTAAAGAATTTAAATCACATTAGTGGTTCTCATAGGGCTTGCTTTAATGACTAGATAATAATGATTTGTCATTGGCACATCAGGTAATTAGGGCTTCTGAAACTTTTGAGGATGTGTGAAAATAGTCTTGCTCTACAGACGCAGATGGCAGATGCAGACGTAGAGAATGGACTTGAGGACACGGGGAGGGGGAAGGGTAAGCTGGGACCCTTACCCAGTGAGAGAGTGAGAGTGAGAGAGTGGCATGGACACATATACACTACCAAATGTAAAACAGATAGCTAGTGGGAAGCAGCCGCATAGCACAGGGAGATCAGCTCTGTGCTTTGTGACCATCTAGAAGGGAGGGTGGGAGGGAGACGCAAGAGGGAGGAGATATGGGGATATATGTATATGTACAGCTGATTCACTCTGTTATATGTAAAAAAAAAAAAAAAAAAAGAGTAAGTCTTGCTCTTTGAATAACTTTAAGCATTCTTCCCACAATCTTACCTATGATATTATATCCTAATATGGAGAGCTTATTTTTTTAAATAAATTTATTTATTTATTTTTATTTTTTGGCTGCATTGGGTCTTCCGCTGCTGCGCGCGGGCTTTCTCTAGTTGCTGCGAGCAGGGGCTACACTTCGTTGCGGTGCGTGGGCTTCTCATTGCTGTGCCTTCTCTTGTTGCGGAGCACGGGCTCTAGGTGCACGGACTTCAGTAGTTGTGGCACGTGATCTCAGTAGTTGTGGCTCGCGGGCTGTAGAGTGCAGGCTCAGTAGCCGTGGAGCACGGGCTTAGCTGCTCCACGGCATGTGGGATCTTCCTGGACCAGGGCTCGAACACCTGTGTCCTGCATTGGCAGGCAGATTCTTAAACCCTGCGCCACCAGGGAAGTCCCCTTATTTTTTTAAGTTTTAAAATTTATTTTATTGGAGTATAGTTGATTTACAATGTTGTGTTAATTTGTGCTGTACAGCAAAGTGATTCAGTTATATATATACACACATATATATACATTCTTTTTCATATTCTTTTCCATTATGGTTTATCACAGGATAGTCAATATAGTTCCCTGAGCTGTACAGTAGGACCTTGTTGTTTATCCATCCTATATATAATAGTTTGCATCTGCTAATCCCAAACTCCCGATCCATCCCCTCCCCTACCACCGGCAACCACAAGTCTGTTTTCTATGTCTATAAGTCTGTTTCTGTTTCATAGATAAGTTCATTTGTGTCATATTTTAGATTTCACATATAAGTGATATTTGTCTTTGTCTGACTTACTCCACTTAGTATGATAATCTCTAGGCCCATCCATGTTGCTGCAAATGGCATTCTTTCATTTTTTTTAATGGCTGAGTAGTATTCCATTTACATACCATATCTTTTTTTTTAAACACCTTTATTGGAGTATAATTGCTTTATAATGTTGTGTTATTTTCTGCTGTACAACAAATTGAATAAGCTTTATGCTACATATATCCCCATATCCCCTCCCTCTTGAGCCTCCCTCCCACCCTCCCTATCCCACCCCTCTAAGTCGTCACTAAGCATCAAGCTGATCTCCCTGTGCTATGTGGCTGCTTCCCACTAGCTATCTATTTTACACTTGGTAATGTATATATGTCAATGCTACTCTATCACTTTATCCCAGCTTCCCCTTCCCCCACTGTGTCCTCAAGTCCATTCTCTACATCTGTGTCTTTATTCCTGTCCGGCCACTAGGTTCATCAATACCGTTTTTTAGATTCCATATTATATGCGTTAGCATACGGTATTTGTTTTTCTTTTTCTGACTTACTTCACTCTGTATGACAGACTCTAGTTCCACCTACCTCATTACAAATAACTCAATTTTGTTCCTTTTTATGGCTGAGTGATGTACCACATCTTCTTTATCCATTTATCTGACGATGGACATTTAGGTTGTTTCCATGTCTTGGCTATTGAAAATAGTGCTGCAGTGAACATTGGGGTGCATGTATCTTTTCGAATTACGTTTTTTTCCAGATATATGCCCAGGAGTGGGATTGGTGGTCGTATGGTAGTTCTAGTTTTAGTTTTTTTTTTTTTTTTTTTGCGCTACGCGGCCTCTCACTCTTGTGGCCTCTCCCGTTGCAGAGCACAGGCTCCGGACACGCAGGCTCAGCGGTCATGGCTCATGGGCCTAGCCGCTCTGAGGCATGTGGACTCCTCCCGGACCGGGGCACGAACCCGCGTCCCCTGCATCAGCAGGCGGACTCTCAACCACTGTGCCACCAGGGAAGCCCGATTTTTAGTTTTTTAAGGAATCTCCATACTGTTCTCCATAGTGGCCGCACCAATTTACACTCCCACCAACAACGTAGGAGGGTTCCCTTTTCTCCACACCCTGTGGGGAGCTTATTTGGGAAAAGGAATATCCCAGCTTAGACTCTGTTTCGACACTATATTAAAAATTCTGAATTAGGAGAGTAAAATATAAATATGAGGTTTTGGCCATAGTGTAGCAGACACTGTTGATTCCCCACCTTCATGCTTCCTGTATTCTAGATATGCTAATAGAGGAGCCCTCAGCCAGTGATGGACAGGATTGACAGATACACACCCCAGCTTCTTCACTCCTCGGGCTTGGTCCACATGGTCCCCAGACGTCCTCACGGGACTGAGCCCCACACCCACAGCTGAAGTCTGCTCATTAACACACCACAGTGGCTTCTTTCCCTTCCCTGTCTCATGGACCTATCCCCCAGTAGAGCTTCCTGGGGTCACCTGCCAATTAAAAACACCACCTCAAATCCTCCTCTCAGTCTGCTTTGGAGGGAACCCAACCTAAGACAATTGGAAGTAGGGCACTCAGCGTCATCTTGTCAGGTTGCTTTTTGCTCAGTGACCAACTACCTGTAAAAATGGTGTTGAATTTTTAAAAGTATAAACTGCATGAAAAATAATTTCATTCACCATATTAACATTATCATCCCACAATAAAGACTTAGTTTACTGCAGCTTAAAGAAAGCTAGACTGTAATCCATTAAAAGACTACTATCTTATGGATCATAACATACATGATTAGGGCTGTTTCTCTAACTTAAAATATAGAATCCCCCCACCCCCATCACCCTCATTCCCATTTTCTGATTTATTTTTATCCATAGTATGTATCGCTTTCTACCGTATCACATAATTTATTTAT